TTAGAAAGGAGACCCATGTAAAGGGTGATTAGGCACTCAGGCAAAGGAGGAGGACTGCAGGGAACGTAGAAGAACAAGAATGAGAATGGTACAGACACAACGGGTGTGTAAGTGAAGCTACGGTTTTGTGGCTGGAACTTCAGTGAGACTAAAACTCTGAAGAGACTGAATGAGTTTTGACTACTGCTTCTTTATTATAATTTACTATAATTCTTTATTATAATTTTGGTGGTGGTGGTACTTCCAAACAACACACAGAAAATGCAGGGGCCACACTTAGAGATGCTCAGTCAAGTGAGCCAGACGGTTCACTGCTAGGGCCCAGGGAGATGACGCTGCTTGGGTCCACAGATTCAGGGAGCACCACAATGACCCCAGTGACGCTCGGGAACTACTGAGGCCTCCCCAATAGTGCGATGGTCCCGCAGGGCCACAACCAGTGGTGTTTGAGACGTAGGCTATTTCTTTAACAGTAAGGAACTACTGCATGGTACTGAGCTTGAAGAAGGGAGGCTGTCTAGAACAGAGCTAAATTCAGATGGGTAATCAGACTATAATGAGGGACACTAGAGTCTTCAGTGAATATATTGTTTATAGAGACCCAGAATTTATGCCCCTATCCTTTGGTAACAACTTTGATTTTGCATTGGGAAAACATTCTCTGCCGCTGAATATGGTCCGTGAAATTCTAAGCATTCCCCTACCCCAAGGTTCAGGGTTGGACACAGAACCCAGGCCTGAGTGAGCAGCGTCCCCGTACCTACCTCCTGATGCTCTGGTTGTTACAAGAGTAGGGAAACTCACACCAGTTAACGTGAAGAGTCAAACCCAGAATTTTTGCTTTTGTTGCATCTATGGAGATTACAACTTCAGAGGGGCGGGAAGGTATGTGGCATAGGGTAGGGCAGATCTGCTAAAAAAGGCCAAGAATTATCCTACAGATAAATTTACCTGAAAATGAAGAAGAAGCAGAACCCTCAGATGGAAGAAGTTCTTCTTTAAGAACCTACATTTGATCATGCCTGAAGAAATACTACGACCTAGATTTTTTTTTTCTTTTTGGGTCATACTCAGCAATGCTCAGGGGTTACTCTTGACTCTGCACTCAGGAATTACTCCTGATGGTGCTCAGGGGACCATATGGGATGCTGGGAATTTAGCCTGGGTGGGCCACATGCAAGGCAAATGCCCTACCCGCTGTACTATAACTCCAGCACCTGGATTTTTTTTTTTAAGTCACACTAAGTCAGTATTTAGGAAATGGAGGTAGTGGGGAGGGAAGCCTCAAGAGAAAATTCAGGAACAAGGGCTAGAATGACAGTGTAGCAGGTAGGGCATTTACCTTGCACACGGCTGATCCAGGCTCAATACCCAGGGTCCCATATGGTCTCCTAAGCACTGCCAGGAATAATTCCTGAGTACAGAACCAGGAGTAACCTTTGAGCACCACCAGGAGAAACTCTGGAGCACAGCTTGGAGTAACCCTTGAGCACTGCGGGTGTAGCCCAAAATACATGAGAGAGAGAGAGAGAGAGAGAGAGAGATTTATTCAGGAACCAATCTCACTGGTCTCAAAAATCAGAAATGATAAAGAGGGAAGTACCAAATTACACTCTGGCTTCTAGCTTGACTGATGGAGGGGGAAATGCTATTAACTGAAATACAGAACAGAGAAAGAAAAAGTTTTGGTGAATGATATGAGCTCATTTGGGGGATAGTAAAAATTATCTTAAAGGGCCAGAGTGCACATAGCTGACGTGGCTTCAGTCCCCAGCATTCCATATGGTCCCTGAGCACTGCCAGGACTAGTTCCTAAGTGCAGAGCCAAGAGTAACCTCTGAGCATTGCTAGGTGTGCCCCCCAAACACACACACCAAAAATAAAAATTCCTTTTAATTATCTTAATACTCATATCCTGACTATTTCTATCACTACACCAGAAACTGTGCATGGAGCTGTGCTCCAAGCTCAGGAGTGCATAACTAAAGGGTGCCCAGAAGACAGAACTGCCAGGGCACCATTCCTACCACTGTTCAGGGCTCACCAGACAGTCTCTAACAAAAGAAACTTAGGAAATTCCAGGGAAAACTAAATACCACCCCTAAGCACTGCAGTTTTCTGCTGGTGATAACTAGCTAATTGAAAACATAAGGGACCCTATAAGTATATATATATATATATATACATAGATATATAAAATTTCAAGGAGAGGGTGGTTACTGAGTCCTTTTTTTTCCTGAAAAAGGGGAGTACTAAGTCAAAAAAGTTCAAGCTATACCATTACAAACAGCAACCGAATGAGCGCATACTCTCCTTATTTTAAGAGCTAACAGGCGCCCTGTGAGAATTCCATGCACATCATCTTACTCAGTCTGCAGCCAAGAAGGCATTATTCTCGCCGCTTGGACAGAAGGAGCCAAGCCAAGCAGAGATGCAGACAAAATGCTAGTCTGTACAGCTCCATCAGACCAATCGCTTTCAGAAACGCGTGCAATAGTTGTACCCATACATATACATGATCCCATCCCATCAAGATTTTTTCTGAATTATTTTGTTGACCACATAAAGGTGAGGTCTCCAGGGACCAAGACACACTCCCTTGATTCTCAGGCAGAGGCTCGTGTTTACCAGATGCCTATCTAGTAGCTGAGGAGGCCATCAGGGCCACTCCACCTCATGAAGCAACACACTCTGAGCAGCTGCCAACAGGGGACAGGCCACAGCAATGAGGCGCTTCGGGGGTGATGCCACACTGGCAGGAAATGTGGACTGCAGCTTCTCAGTTACCAGGAAGGCACGGAAGAACCAGGACGGAGAAATGACACCTGCACAGGGCGGTCCTGCTCATCTGTATGACAAGCAAAGAATGCTACAGAACTGATTCCTACACATTCCTTTTCAAAATGTTCATCACTGAGGCCGGAGCAATAGTACAGCAGGTAGAGCATTTGCTTGGCACACAGTCAAACCAGGTTCAATCCCAGCATCCTATATGGCTCCCTGAGTCTACCAAGAGTGATTCCCGGGCACAGAGCCAGGACTGAGTCCTGAGCACCACTGGGTGTGCCCCCCCACAAAAAAATACCCGAACTCATACGTTTCTTTGTTCCAGTAGCTAAGCACATAAGAAGTAATGAAAGTGCAAGTGTCAGTATTGAAAATGAAGACTCTGGAGTTTGACTCTGATTCCACCATAACGGTTGTGAGCCTGGCACTTTATTTGTCCATCTATCCATGTCACAGTGCCTCATGTGATAAGTGGTAATCATAACAGTACTTAACTCATGCCGTCAATATGAGAATTCAGTTAGTTAATACAAGGTTCATAGGCAGTGCCTGGCATGTGGTAAATAAGAATTTGCTAAAAACCAATAAATAAGTAAGCCAATGAGATGTTCACTTAGTTGGGGAGGAAATTTCCACTTGAATTCTGACCCTGTCTCTCCCATATGAACTGGTAGAGAAAAACTAAAAGATTTCTAAATCCTCCATTTCCTAAATACTGACTTAGTGTGACTTAAAAAAAAAAAAAATCCAGGGGCTGGAGTTATAGTACAGTGGGTAGGGCATGTGCATTCCACACGGCCGACCTGGGTTAAATTCCCAGCATCCCATATGGTCCCGTGAGCACCATCAGGAGTTTATTAGAATTTATATGGAACCTTTGAATTTTCTTCTTTGTGATACTGGGTATCAAGCCCAAGGGCGTCCATGTGCAAGTCCATCTGCCTCGGAGAATATCCCTGTCTCACACATATGTAAGGAGCATTTCAAAGACATCTGGAGAAAAATAGCCAATACATACAAGCAGAAACTGAAACATAAAAAAGGAAGTAAGAGTTTGCTTCACTGAACATTATCATTAATAGATTTCACAAAGGAAGCCCCAAAGTCTTTCAATCCAGGCTTTGTACAGCAGATGACAGACATAACGAGGGGTTATCTTCAGTCTCTGGCCTCTAGTAACTCCATCTATTTTTATTTTTATTCATTTTTTAAATATCCAGCAAAACTCCCACATACACATTCCTGCTCTATCCTGTTCCCATCCCATAGCCTTCCGAGGTTAAAACCAGAGTTACTAGTGAAATAACCAAGGAAGCGCCAGGAAATACCAAAGTCACCAGTCAAACCGTTGTTACTGTGTTTTTATCGTAAATCTCCCAACTTCTAAAAGTGACAACAGTTCCGTGTACAGAAACGTGCATTGCTTGGGAGTGTTGTGGGGAGGCAGGATGACCCAAAGACAGGCCAGGGGCAGGACAGGGGGGAGGCAGAATGGGTCTATGGGCGGGCAGGGCAGAAGTGGGATGGTGCGGCGACAGGTCAGGCATGCAGGGGGGAGGGGGAACAGATCTGGCTATGGGCTGGGCATGACAGGAGGGAGGGGGAGGGCGGGTCTGACTATGGGATGGGAAAGGCAGGGGGTAGGAAGGATGGATCTGACTGGGCCGGGGCACAGGAGGGGGCGTGGGGGGACAGTCACTGACAGCTGGGCACGGCAGGGGTAAGAGGGATGGGTCTGACCACAGGTCAGAGGCATGCAGGGGGGTTGGTGGGCCGGGTCTACTACGGGGCCGGGGCACACGGGGGCAGCGGGGATGGGTCTGACTATGGGCGGGGGACGCAGGGGGTAGAGGTGACGGGCCTGACTGCGGGCCGGGGACGCAGAGGGTAGAGGGGTTGGGTCTACTATGGGACGGGATGCAGGGGGGAGAGGGGTCGGGCCCGGCTGTGGGCGGGGGACACACAGAGGCAGTGGGGGACGGGGACGCAGGGGGGAGAGGGGACGGGCCTGACAGTGGGCCGGGGACGTAGAGGGGGAGGGGACGGGTCTCCTACGGGCCGGGGAGGCAGCGGGGAGAGGGGACGGGCCTGACTGCGGGCCGGGGACGCAGCAGGGCGGCGGGGCGCGCCCGGCGAAGGCCCGCGGCCCTGCCCACCGCGGCTGCCGTCCGCTGCCCCCCGACGGCGTCCCCTGCCCCCGGCGCACCGCGCACCTGCTCTCCTCGGGCGGGCTCCCCCGGCCGCCGAGCTCCACGGCCGCGCCCTCGGGCCGCATCGGGTCGCCCTCCGCTGACAGCCGCGTCCCGGCGCGTCTCTCCGGAACGCAGGCGTCGGCCGCGTCGGACGGGCTTCGGAGACGGACCTCGGACGGCCCCGCCGCCGGGTCAGCGCGCACCGCCCACTTCCGGTTCCGAGAACTACAGTTCCCAGCAGGCCCCGGGGCCCGGCCGCTTCCGCCGGCGCGCTCGCGGGGCCGGGCGGGGCGGGGCGGGGGAGGGGGCGTGGCCGGGAGGGGCGGGGCGGGGCGCTGACGTGCGCTTGCCGAGCGGCCCCTTCCCACCCCGCGCGGTCCGACCCCGTCCTGGGTCCGGGCCGCCGGAGCACCCCCGCGCGGCCCCGCGTGGCCACACCCGCGAGAGGCGGGGGCGTCGCGGGGGCGTCCGCCGCGGGGAGGTTTTGCTTCCCGCGCGGTGCGGCCCCGCGGAGTCGGGCCTGCGGGCGGCCGGCCGGGCGGGTGGGCGCGGACAGCTGGGGGGCGCGGCCGCAGAGGCGGGCGCGGGGGTGCTCGGCGGGGGCTGTCGCGAGCCGGCGCCGGAGGGGTCGAGCCTGCGGGCCCGGGGACCGGGCCGGGCGCGCCCGGAGCTCCCGCCCCCGCCGGCCCGGCCCGCCGGAGGGTCCCGGGACTTGGGGCGACCTGAGACCGGAGAGGGCGCGGGCGGCCGGCGCGTGCCCAGGCCCCAGGGCAGGGGCAGACCCCGGAGCGGGCCGGGCCGGCCGCGGCGTCCTGCGGGGTGAGCGCTGAGAGCCAAACCCGATCAAAAGCCGGTTGGATCAGGGTCGTCCAAAGGTTGCTTGCAACACGTGGGTGTGTCGCCGCGTTGCTGCGGCGGCCAGGCTGGGTCCGAGGGCTGAGGCGGCCGGCGCAGGACGGAGTCCGCGGCTCAGGCCGGGGAAGCCGAACTGCCAATTCCACGAAAACTGAAGTGGGAATCCCACGGGAATCCAGTGGATTTCCTACGCCCGAGAAGAGAAATCTCAGCTATAGGTCAGTGTTGTCACTGTCCCTGTCCTCCTGTTGTTCGTGATTTGCTCGAGCGGGCCCAGTAACGTCTCCGTGGTGAGACTTGCTGCGACTGTGCTTGGCATAGCGAATACCTCGCGGGGAGCTTGCCAGGCTCTGCCCTGCCGGCGAGATACACTCGGACTGACGGGCTCTCCGACAGGGCGGAGGAGTCGAACTCGGGTTGGCCGTGTTGGCCGCCGCGTGCAAGGCAAATGCCCTAGCTGCTGTGCTATCGCTCCGGCCCAGTGTTGTCCAGTGGCTTTTTTTTTTTCATTTGTCGGGGACCACAGCCAGAGGTTGTTTCTCAGGGGTTCCTCCTGGCTCTGCACTCAGGACTCACTCCTGGCGGCGCTCCGGGGATCGAACCCCTGTTGGTTGCATGCATGGCAGACGCTCTACCCGCTGTACTAGTTTTCTGGCCCCATCAAATGGCTTTTAGATTGCCAGACACACTGATTTTTCAAAAAGAAGTTGGAATCTGCATCTTTAAATATAATTTACAATTTTTAGTGTATTAGCAACAATGTTTTATTGCTGTTTGGTTTTGGCCGTACCAAAAAGCTTAGGTGCTTTTTCTGCTTTGGAGCTAGGAATCATTCTAGAAGGTGCCCCAATGGAACCTGGACTACAGAATGATAAGCATGCGCTCTAGTCCTCTGTGGTATCTCTCTGTGCCCCTAAAGTCTTTTCAAAAGCATACACATAACACAAACCAAAACTAAGTGAAGAGACCGTGGCGGAGAAAGTGACACAGTGATAGAGTCCCACACTCATGGAAAAGGCCTGGGTTGCATTTCCAGCACAACACACACACACACACACACACAAAATAAAGCAGGATTTTCATTATTTGTTCAAGTCTGTACTTGCATGTATTTACTGAAAGGGATCAAATTTAAAACATGACAATAACCTAGACTAGCTACATGTTCTCCCATCTCATCCCTCCATGTTTTCTCCCCAAGAAGCCATATCCTGAATCCTGTATTGGTAATTCTGCTCCATTTTAAATAGTTTATTAGAATCTATTCAGATTTCTAATAATTCATAAAGCATTCTTTTTAGTTTTTTTAACTTCATAAAAATGTTAACTTATTTTTATTGTATTTTATTAACTTTTTAATTGAATGACCTTGACATACACAGTTGCTGAATTATTTGTGATTGGGTTTCAGTCATACAATGTTCCAACCCCATCCCTTTACCATTTCCCACCACCAACTTTCCACCTCTACCCCCATAGCCTTCCTGTAGAGTAATTGTTCGTTCTCTCTCTCTGTCTCTCTCTGTCTGTCTCTGTCTGTCTCTCTCTCTTCCTCCACCCTTTATTCCTTCTAGGCACTGTTACAGAAGGTATCATGCATATGCCTTTACCTCCTGTCAGCAGCAGTTCTTGTCCAGAGTGATCATTCCCAACTATTGTCATAATGGTCCCTTCTCTGTTCTGACTGAACTCTCCCCAGCCCCCAACTTATGGAAGCTTCGTGGACCAGCCCTGCTAGCCCTCATTTCTACTGTCTTTGGGTGTTATTCTCATAATACAATTTTCATGTTTTGTTGCTGTTATCATTGTGGTTGTCTTCTTAGGCTTTTTGGGTCACACCTGGTGATGTACAGGGGTTACTCCTGGCTCTACATTAGGGAATTACACCTGGTGGTGCCCATGGGACCATATGGGATGCTGGGGATCCAACCCAGATTGGCCACATGCAAAACACGTTTGTACCTACTCACTGTACTATCGCTCTGGCCCCTCATACTGTTTTTAACATCCCACGAATGAGGGAGATCATTTTATGCCTGTTCCTCTTCCTCTGACTTATTTTACTCAGTATGATACTCCCCATGTCATCCATGTATGAACAAATTTCATGACTTCATTTTTCCTGGTAGCTGCATAGTATTCCATTGTGTAGTACCATAGTTTCTTTATCCACTCATCTGTTCTTGTGCACTCGGTTGATCCCAGATTCTGACAATTGTGAATAATGCTTCAATGAACATAGGAGTGCAGATCACTTTTTTCCATTGTGTTTTGGGGCCCCTAGTGTACATTCCCAGGAGCAGTATTGCTGGGTCGCATGGAAGCTCAATTTCCAGATTTTTGAGCAACGTCCATGTTGTTTTCCAGAAAGGCTTGACCAGTAGGCATCAAGATTCAAAAAATGTCTCATCAATATAAAGGTAAGGTAAAGGTAAAGGCCCTCACGTTGATCATCGATTTGCTCGAGCGGGCCCAGTAACGTCTCCATTGGAGACTTTGTTGTTACTGTGTTTGGCATATCGAATACGTCACGGGGAGCTTGCCAGGCTCTCGCCCGCTCATCAATATAAAGGCCTTATATAGCAACTCCTTGCGGAATTAATAGTTTAGGAGAGGTTTGCCAGGAGTGATCCCTGAGCACATCAGGAGCGCTCCACCTCTGCCCTGCCCCCACCAAAAACACACTTGAAGAAGGTAGTTTTATCACAATCACAGATCACTCACAGATCACGATCATCCTGTTGTTAGTCAATTGCCTTGAGCAGGCACCATTAACGTCTCCTTCGTCCTAGCCCTGAGATTCTAAAAAGTGCCACATTCAAGGCTCTTTCAGGGTCAGGAGAATGAGAACCATCATTGTTACTGGTATTTGGCATATTAGGTACCGGGGAGTTTGTCAGACTCTGCCGTGTGGGCAGGTTACATTCGGTAGCCTGCCAGTTTGTCCAAAGCAAGAATGAGATAATAAGATGTCTTCCGGGAGCTGGGTTTTATAGACTCTGTGTCTTGGCCATTGATGGGATTACACAGCGCCAGGGGGGCAGTTGGTGGGAATGACCCCCGCCTACTAGAAGATGGAGGATCTGGACAGCCAGGCGTGGGGGCAGGAGACTGTGCTGTTCTGTTCTGGGAGCTGGGTTTTCTGCCCTGCCCCCACCAAAAAACATACTTGAAGAAGGTAGTTTTATCATAATATATTTAAGATGTTAGGATGATTTTTTTTTTACAGTACACAACAATGGTCTTTATTGGTTGCTACGCTCAGTGAAGCGGAAGGGGGAAGGACACAGGACAGCTCCGACTCCTGGGGCCAGGCAGCTGCTCCCGAAAGTGGATGATATTTTTATTTAAACAGAAGTAGCACCACTGGCAGAAATTCAATTTGCTGGAGAACTAGTTAGTTGTTCTAAAAATATTTTTGAAGTTCGTTATATTTACTAATTGTCAAAAAATTGTTTTAGGAAATAATCTTGAGTATATTTGGCAAATATCAAAATAATAGTGAATATAATATTATTGTAGTTGTTGAAATTAATTTTTAAAGGAAAGAAGGGGGAAGGAAATCTCTTTCACTGTAGATTGTCAACTAATGAATGAGTTAGAAGAATCATTATTTTGTGCCTCCATATTAATAATTAATTCAGGCAAGAACCCTTTACAAATCCTTTACATCTAGGCAAGATTTTAAAAATATGCAAAAGCCAGAGAACTAGCACATCAGGTGTAGGACTTATCTTGCACACAGACGACATGGATTCTATTCGTGGCACTGCATACAGTTTCCCCATGCAGTCATGTGTGACCCAAAAACAGTTTAAAAAAAAAGGCACTATCTTGGTGTGGTTTTTATTTTCTTATGACAGAACCCTTATCCAGTATAACTGAAATTTTAATATTTCATGTGATAAAGTCTTAGTTGTAATAATTTTGAATATATAAACTTGGCTGCCTGGCAAGCTACCCATGGTGTATTGATATGCCAAAAACAGTAACAATAACGGGTCTCATTCCCCTGACCCTGAAAGAGCCTCCAATATGGCAGCATTGGGAGAGAAGAGTTAGGAGAGGCTGCTAAAATCTCAGGACTGGGACGAGAGGAGACATTATTGGCGCCCACTCCAGTAAATCGATGAACAAGGGAATGACAGTGATATAAACTTGGTTTAGCAGGGCAAGCCCCACTGTACCATCTCTCTGGCACTAACTTTGGATATATTTCAACTTAATTTTTGTCCAGTTTAACTTATTTCTATGTCGGGGATCTGATCCAGGTACTCCACATAAAAGATATATTTTGGTCAGAGTTTAGCAT